CAGTGGCGGCCATCTTGGATTTATACTAATTACGTACATTACCATTAGTTTTGTTCAGCAACCTCATAAAAACAGACACAAACTTGAATTGGTCCAAGAAACGTGAAGGGACCTACAACAATTACACTATTAACCTTATATTAATTACATGGATGTTTATAAATTATGAAATTTGATGGACAATTTGAAATTATGCAATTAGGTTAGTTATTAGATCACAGAATGCGTTGGGTAGAAATGTATAGTGTTCCAAAATCTCATGTTAGTTTAATACAATACTATTAGTGGGAAATGTCTGGTATAGTGTATTCAATGTCACCCAAGTAGGATATATGCCCTTATTTTTTTTAAATATATCCAAAACCCTAACATAGTCGGCCGACCAAATACATAAAAAAAAACTTTAGAAGGATTTTTTTTGTTAGAAGTATAAATTCTACTTAAAATTAAAATATTTCAGCATATTGTAAGGACCAAGCTTGACAGGAATGAATCCATAATTATGGGTTAATCATGATAGATCGTGTAAAATGGTAATCACTGCAGCTAGTTTTGAGATTTGCTACGCTGACCTGTTTATTCATATTTGTTTTCGATTTGTTTTATATTTTTAGAAAAGTTTTTTCTTTTTCTTTTTAGATTATAGTTTTTTCAATTTCTTTCTGTAAGACCCATTTTATCTTTTCCTAAAGATTTTATGCGTCTAACAAATATATATATATATATTTATTTTTAATTTTTATCATAGTCTTTTTCTTGTTGAGTCATTTATCCACATGTATCCTGAACTTTTGGTCATTATTCAAAACTACACTTACTTTCCTCAACTCAGCATGTACATCGCCGCCACAGTTTACTTATCTTTACAATGACAATAACAGCTTGACGTAGATCTGTTCAAAATGTAATCAAGTGTTCCTTTTGTCATGGGCAAGCCACGTGGGCAATCGTGCAGTTTTATGAAAATTCGCCCCTCACGTTTCCAAACCGTCCATAATGTTTTCCATTCGTTTGAATTACCTGGCAATGGTGGATAGTCCTTGTCAGAAGAGCAACCCACCTCCGCTCACAGACAAACCAGTGACTCGTGTTTTTATTTAAGTTGGCGTTACATCAATTCTGGGTTCTAAAATAAGGAGACCTTATGCTCGTATGCAAATTTGCGGGAGTCAAATATGTGAATCTGGGTTCTTGTGCCAAAAACCAGCCTGCAATGGAAATTATCCAGGAAAGCCAATGAATTAGCATTCCTTTACAAAGAAGGATTTTCACCACCCATCCAGCTAGAATCCAAAAGCTTGTTGGTTTTTATCTAGTTTGCGCTCTGTATAACAACGAAACAAATTAAAATTTCTTTCTGGATAGGTTTATTAAATTGTACATACTGGGTATTTTCAAAACCAGCGGTACGTGATAGTATTAAGGTTGTTTTCATGTTGCCTGGTTGTCATTTATAAATTAACTTTGTGTACAGTATAACTAGTAATGACTTATAGACTTGTAGAGTTGCATTTATTCTATTGTCTTTTACATATGGTTATAGGTGGGGGTTTCCTGCTAAGATTACAAGGGTTTAATTCTTTGTTCTAAACATGTGACAACCATATTGTACCGAGTTAGTTCACTAAAAATCTATTTGTGGCCGTTTGGAACTGAGATTAGTCAGAGCGCTATGATGTGACTGGGTGTTATGTAATAAGCTTGAAGAATAGGTCTGACATAATCGCCAATGATAGTGACACATTGTGTTAGTCTGGCAGGAAGACATAATTTGCCTCAGACTTACTAACAGAGGATACTAACTGCAAGAAATTGCTACCAATGTATATTCTGCTACATCGCCTACATCGTCAACAGCCAGTCAAGTAAGGTGAAAGTCCTTCGCTACAATACCCCCAGACTCTTACATGTAAACGTAAAGAACTACTAGTTAAATCTATATGCCCGTCACAATTGTTATAGATTGCCTGCCATTTATATATATAAATATATAAACTATACAAAATACTGTATTCCCACCTATTCTAGTTGTGAGCTCCATTAATTAATTATTGTTGATTCTTATACTAGCTCGCTCAAGTGGCTAGTGAAAATGCCGTTTGTGAGACCACGTAAAAATTTTAATCATCACTTCATTATGCAAGAACCCAAACATGCTCTTCACCAAACTGTGCCTAGCTGGTACACTTGCATTTAGCTGTACAGTTTTGTCAACATTTCTGGAACCGAACATTGATACCCTCAAACGTTGAGCTGTTGCAGGTGTGTGCGATACTGCAAGAGACAATACCATGCATAAATCTTGCTTTACCTGATAAACCATGGTTTCACGTAATTCACGTGTGCCGTTGTATGTGTAAGCTTGATGTGCATTCTAATTATATATGCATATACATGTAGTTGTATATTCAAGTCCATCAGTCTAAATTATCCCTGTGTATCTCACAACTTGAGTGTTTTGGATTAATATTGTTCCAACCCTGTGACCCCGAGCTCGTGACACCTACAGTGACGCATACAATTTTATATTAAAGATAGCTACATTGCGACTAATATTATAAAAACTACAGAACTTTCTTGCAGGACTAATTGCCTTTTAAGAAAATGATCACAGAATTATGGCATGCTGTAACTTATGGTGACACATATATAGCAATATAGTTTATTAATGTTAGAATACAATTTATACATGCGATGCAATTAACTCAAATACAATGTATCAATATATAATAAAAGTAAATGATTTAGCCAGTTCTATGGTTCATTGGTTATTGCCAATTACTGACTATTACCTTTAAGACTCGTCTGGGTGTAATCATCGCATTCTAGTCAGAGCTATCAAACATATCCAACAAGAAATTTAAGATAAGTGTATTTTTCACAAACATAAATTAATTAACAGAAGAACAATTTGGTTACAAGAACACGCATAACTTCGACAGACATGAGGTTAGATATTTATTCTGCCACTGGTCGGCCATTTTGAATCAGATAGTCAAACCAATACATCTGTATATCTATGACTTGATGTATAATGAATATATAAAATTGGAACATAATAAGTCAAAGCATGTCAGAGATATGGCACGAGAACCACCTTCATTAAAACAAAATGGTAGCCTGTCAGCCATTTTAAATCCCAGTTGAAAAACAAAATGACGTGCATCAAGGTCCCATAATGTCCAATGTATGTACCACATTTTGAACAAAAACCATCTAAAAACATCCGAGATCCGGTTCCGGAAATGCTCAATTTTAATGATTTTTCAGCACAAAAATGGCGGTCATTCAACCATTTTAAATTTGATTGTAAAATCAAACAAAAATGTGCATATGTATAATATTATGTATGATGTATATGTGAAGTTTGAATGTAATCAGTTCAGGCATGTCTAAGATGATCGTGAGTTAAGGCAGATTGTAACAGACTTAGTAGATCAAAGAAACTAGCTTACTTCCTGCTGTGGTGGATGGGCCAAGAAAGCAGTTAGAATTGTTGTTGTAGGTGCCTGAACACTCACACGCTTTGAGATGAACAAATGACAGAGCAGTTGTGACCCGAGCCCACTGAAATGTGGTTTTGCTGAATTGTTTGTTTCTGTAGTCACATATATGTCATGACACCAAGAACCCTCACATTGAGTAGCTGCTGCAGTGACAATAAAATGTGAAGACCAAAGCTGTTCAATGGGTGATATGAATAACTGTTCCACTAGACTTGTGTGACTTAGCAAGAAGATCAAACACCAGTGTAGAACTTGGTTTTCAAGGCCAGGCAGCATGTATATCACAAATGTCTTAACTGTGTGATGAATTGCTAACATTAAAATGGCTGCCATCCAATTATTCTGAATCTGGCGATCAAACAAATACATCATACATCATGTCACACATGTGTATATACCAAAATTTGAACATGATTGGTAAATATTTGAGATATAACTCCGGAACAGCATTTGTTAAAAACAAATTGGCATCAAGATCTCATTATGTCCAATGTATGTATAAAGTTTGAATGGAATGCATCCATATTGACGGAGATCAAGTTTTGGAACATCTTGATTTTGAGCATAACAATTGGCCATCTTTAATCAAAATGTGTTAGTTTGAATGTTATTGATCTTGGCATGCCAGAGATACAGGAGGGTATGGATGCACATGCATAACTGCATTCACATGAGGGCAATCCATAAACCCCCTTTTCTGGAGTGCATCGAATTGGGGACTAGCAAAGGGTACTGTGCCTCAGATAATCTCATGCTACCACCTACATATTCTATGTGCAATGATATCAGCGTTCTACCAAAAGTATTTTTTATTTATCTTTTGTAAAAGGATTTACTATACCAATAACCTCTATGGTTCTCAGAACATTTCAGTGGTCAAAACTGTTCAACAATATTCCCAACAGGCTTTTCAATGCTCAGTGAGAATAAGAACATAAGAAATTACAAAATATAAATTTCTAAAATGCTTGAGCATTAGATTTGGAGAGCACTGCTACTGTCAATCAAGTGATCTTCAGTACTGTTCATGGAATCATCAGGTGATACAACAACGTATACATTTACTTGTATGCTTTGTTTTGTTCATAATAATATCTCACTGTTTGGTCGGTCGGTGAGTGTAGTTTTGTAATCTTGTCTTGGCTTTCATCTCCTGGTGGTTTATATTTGTAAACCAAAGGATACAATTACTGACTAACACCATGATTATCCAAGGAAAAGAAACAAATTGATTTCGTAGTTCATCCTGCTGTGAGATTACTGGCTTTAACACATGAACTTAATTTACATAAACATAGAATGGGGGACTGCTTTGTAATTTACTCATAAATAATTTGATACCTGTGTGAAGGAATAAACTGACTGTGTTAAGTTGTATTGATGAACCAACTAAATTTCCAATAGCACAGTCATTAGAGGGCTAAAGTCATAGTTTTAAATCCCAATGCAATGTTGAAGGAACTCCATCTCCATACAATCTATATACAAACAATGTAGGTGTACAAGTTATGTGAGATTTAATTAGCCAGTTACAAAATGTACGAGTCTAACATAATAGCAGTTTACAACTTACGCAAGTTTTACAATTATTATTTAGCAATTTTACAAGTTAAAGAAATTTTACAATAGCGGCTTAAAATCTCTATATGAATACAAATGTAACAATTTAATTTACAATCTGCATAAAGAGAAAGTGACAAGTGTTGGTTTACAAGAATAAACATACAGCCAGAAGAATGGGTTACAAAGAGTGGTATGAATGTGAGAAATCCATTGTCAATGGCCAGACTCCATTGATTCCAAATTCCATCACTAGAAGAAATCCAGGAGTGTGGGTGTACATTTGCCTAAATAGTACTGTTATTTGATCAGTCACTGCTGGCAACGAACTGTAATGGGCTGAGCATATTTGCTTGAATCACTGAAAAGTTAATGTACATTCAAAACAAGGGATTTATAAATCAAAGACAAGGTCAGCACAATGGCCTACCACTTTTGTTTGTTACAGTTTGTTCAGTAGTACTGGGTTCTACCACAAATCAGCTCTTTGATGGCAGACAGGCTGGCATTATTTGGTTTCAAAGCATGACCATTCTAATGACAAACCAGGAAAAGGCTGGCAGCCAATGATTATAAATCTTGTATGTAAATCGCGTATAGAACTGAATTTACTGGAAAATTTTACCATGAGGTCCATCTTATGGAGTTTGTCCCACAAGCTTATTTGCAAAAACTTACAGTAATATTAAGAACATGAATGTTTATTACATAACTTCACTGCACTGATACGCACATTAGGCAAAATGTGAATGTATCAATAGTGTTTAAAAGTAAAGAAAATAGACTCCATGTGCACAAATAATGAATAATAAAAATAGATTTGAAAGAAATTAACAATATTACATTCAAAGTTGTTTTAAGATTTCATTAAACAGACTGTACAGTGCTACAGACCAAATGATGGAAGTTTTCGTTTAGGTGTTGCTGGTGACTTTATACGATCTTCTCGTCTGCCAGGTGTTAAGATCTTCAGTCTGAAAGAAAGTATCTGATAATTAATATACTTAAATACAACATTCAAGGAATAGAAGTTACCATTCAAGTTTCATCGTAGAGTTATAAATGGCTGTGAGACTATCTACCTAATATAATCGCATTATGTGCTACCCTAGTGTTAAAAAAATCATTTTGAACACCAGGTTAGTCAAATGTTTCATCTATTAGTAAATCAATTTCAATTAATGGTCCTGTCCTTCCCAGTGAATCTGTAGCATAATAACCCAGCGCCTTGGCCTATACATGTAGTATATTATTTGCACTGTATATACAATCTGTTAAACTGTGTTGATACTATTGTCACAGTAATTATTGTTTCTTTAAAACAACAATCTTTTAATCAGACTGATCTTAATGTTCCAAAAAATTATTTTTCCAATGGTAATGGTCACTGACAAAAATAACAGGGTTCTCCCCAGGGGTTCCCAACCATTAAATTTAGGATAAACAGTAGAACCAATTTATCATAACAATGGATACAATAGAAATTAACATACTGTATTGTTATGCAAATTGGCCCAAACTGAACGCAATATTTCTGGGGAGAACGCTGAATATATAGATCAAATTAGCAGATAAACCAACCTTTTTGATGAGCCTGATTCCTTTTCTTTCGTCTCCTCCTTCCTGGTTTCTAGCTGAGCATTGGCAATTGCTAACTCTTCCTCCATAGCACTCATTTCTTCCTTGGCAAGTTGTCGTTTATGCTGCAGGAGAGTTATTCAGAAGTGAATTAACATGTGACACAAGAAGCAGAGTTCATATTACAAGGTACATCAAACTAGAGACAGGAAATCATCAGCTTCATATTTAGTATTTGTTATTTGCCGAAAACAGAGTGCTTTTGTTTGAAAAGGTTCATTTTAGTAATGACTAAAATGATTTGAAATTCAGAAATGGAAAATTATCTCTAAGATTGCACTCAACATGACAATGAATCAATTGCATTACACATCCATAGAGATTTATCAAATTATTAGTTTTCAAAATACTAGTAGATAGAATTGCACAATGCTGTGCATTAAAACAAATTCTAATCATGGTATGAAACTTTGAGACATTTGAAAGATACTCACATGTCTTGACTTTCCTGATTCTTTAACGCTGTAAAACATGGGTCCCAGTTCTGCCAACCATTGACCTTCCACTGCGGTAACACATTGCATGTATTCCTAGTTTGATAACATATAACTGACTGGTTAAACATCAACACAGGGTTTATCAGACAGACAGACATTGTCAACTGCATTTATTTATTCATATCATATTCACAACACCAGACCTCGTTGAAATGTAAATACTGGAACTTAAATTTACCAAGTGAAAAGTTGCTGGTATGAGCACACTATGAGACAAGCCTGAGCTCAAAACCTAATCAATTAACATATTAAAAATAAAATAAGAAACAAAAGACAGGTCAATAGAGTGAACAAATGAATCCTAGGAACTGACCTAGTTTTCCCTGTGGATAATTTTGAGATGAAACAGCCTTAAAATTGTAAAACAATGTGACCAAAGTCAACAAGGAAAATCAAGAATATCAATATATAACTAAATGTAATTGGCACCCCTTACCTTAGTTGTCATGATAAGTTCATGATACACGATATAATCTGGAGTGAATCCCATACCATATAAGGCACTTGTAGGATGTAAATGGCATGGCATACCCGTACGTACATTAACATATTCACCAATACCCTATTTAATCAAGAGACATTGAAAAGTAAAATTTAGAAATTCAAATCAACTTATACCAATAGCTTCTTGATCACAGAAAGCTCAGACTCAGACTCCAAGTCATCACAAATATCATGATTAAAATGAAACACCAAAGAGGGTATTGTAACACGCAAAGTGATTGGACAATGATTAGCCGCAACTGACTACCGGGGGCGCTGTTAGAATACGCATGCTTGATGGTCGTTCTGCCAAGGTCTGTTTAGAGGCTTTGCCGAATAAACTTAGACCTTGGCTAGCGAAGATGACTCCAAGTCTGATTTGTTGTCTTAATTAGTACAGGCATGTATGTACGCCTAGTCAACCTAACCTCTGGTGATATAATATAAATTATATGCAAGTTACTACTCTGATTGAGATAAGAGGTACTGAAAATAAACTACTGTATCTAGGTTCAAGTTCAAACCTCAGAATGCGCATTGATATACACCTTATTCTGAGACCTGCCTTGAAGAATTATTCATTGGTTATCAGATATCAAGTTTAAAGTTAGATCATAAATATTCATAAATTGATCTTTATGTACTGTTCATTGGACAATAGAAAACTGTTTGTGGATCTGAGGAGCATTTGAGATTATTCTTCAAATTAGGAACTACTACGAAGACAAGCTTTACCTTGAGTTTAGCAGCTTGGTGGAAATATGCAGAACAAATGCACTTTCTAATGATATCCCATCCAGTACCACAAGACACCAGATCCATCTTGCTTTGATCCATAATTTCCTTCAATTGTTGCCTAACTTCGCGTACTTTTCTCATGGCTTTCACATGGACAAAGTGTTCATTGCACCACATAGCTGAGTAGCTGCAGGTGGAAATGCGGATCATTAGCACAGAACAAGTTAAGTTTGTCACAATGATACAGTATCAGTTAGATCAATTTAGCAACAGCTAGCATGCAGTGTTATAGCCAAACAAGACATATGCAGTGTTATAGCCAAACAAGACATATGCAGTGTTATAGCCAAACAAGACATATGCAGTGTTATAGCCAAACAAGACATATGAAGTGTTATAGCCAAACAAGACATATGAAGTGTTATAGCCAAACAAGACATATGCAGTGTTATAGCCAAACAAGACATATGCAGTGTTATAGCCAAACAAGACATATGCAGTGTTATAGCCAAACAAGACATATGCAGTGTTATAGCCAAACAAGACATATGCAGTGTTATAGCCAAACAAGACATATGCAGTGTTATAGCCAAACAAGACATATGCAGTGTTATAGCCAAACAAGACATATGCAGTTTTATAGCCAAACAAGACATGTGCAGTGTTATAGCCAAACAAGACATGTGCAGTGTTATAGCCAAACAAGACATATGCAGTGTTATAGCCAAACAAGACATATGCAGT